TTCCCTAGTTTGACTTGTACTAGTACTACTTGGAGCTTGCTGAATGGCTATTGGATGAACTTGTTGTTGTGTGTGTACCTTTGGGTTGGAATGAGGAAATCATGAAGTCATGACGGCTGGAAAAGTAAGCAAATTTAGGGGAAGTGCTGTCCGAACTTTTAAAGGATTTGTTTGCATTGAGTTTGTGATCTAAGACTTGGGTTTGAGCAAGACAATGTTATATGATGGATGGTTTCTGAGCCGTGGAGGTGAGTGACCTCAAACTATTTCTAAAGTTATTTATGAACTGTTTCCTGCATTATTTACTTTTGAACCGTTTTCTTGCATATCATGCGTGCTTGCATATGAGTGTTCCTTGTTTGCTATATCACTTGATTTATTGGCTTGTTATTATTGATTGATAATGTGTTAAGTGCTTTCAATGATTGTTAAACGAGTTTTCTAGGCGAGTGTGTACTTTATCGCACTCGACCTAAATAAATATGAAATTTTCAATGATTAATGATTAAATGCTAGTTGCGCATGAATGTAAGCCGTTTGGCTGAATTGGGCCCTGCCCTTCGTTACCGATCGACTCGAGCCAGAAGCGGACTCGGTCGGGCGATATGGTGACCCTGGGTGAATTTGGTATACTCGAGTATTACCTTGTAGTCCGGCTACGTCCGAATGGGTGGAGACCGGCCAACGTCCGAAAAAAAAAGGATGAACGAATAAAAAGATGAACGAGGGATTATTTATAAAAAAATGAACGTATCCTTTTCATGAATGTTACTATCGCTTTCCATTGTACATGTTTCTTGAATTATTGATACTCCATATTTAATGTTTTGTAAATGCTGTAATCGTTTCTGGACTTATCATTTGATTTATGACATCATTGAAAAGAAATATTGTTAAACCGATTTGATTACTGATTTTCTGGTTACTCGCTGAGCTTCTAGCTCACCTCAAAAATATTTTATTCCCCTCCACAGGGCTCAAGGCGAAGGCAGGACTTCTTGTGCTTATTCACGTGAATGGATGGCCTATATCTTGTACAGTTTTGGATTTGGAATCATTTGATGTATAGTTGGGAATTTGTTTCCGCTGCATTTATGACATGTAATTATTGGAGACTTGGATGTATATTTGTAGACCATGGATGTAAATTTGAGATTTATCTTGTAATATATTTGAGGAATGTAGTGAACGACTGAGTCCCGGCGAGAACTGGGCAGGCGACCCGCCGAACCCTCTGGTTCGCCTTAGGGGGAGGTGGGGTCGTCACAGTTATGACCCTTTCCAGTACCCTTTTTTGCTTCCTTTTGGTGAATCTAGTTGGCATCAAGGGATTAAAAAACAAGGAAAAAAGGTGCACAAAAAAAGACTAGGAAAAGGGATGCTCAAATTTCTATTTCTCCAATGAATGCTTCTACTGCCGAAGAGTTAATACAAGTGGAACAAGAGTTAATACAAGTGGAACAAGACTGTAAGTAGAATAAATCATTTCCACCTGTATTCTATTAATTTTAGCATGCCAACCTCATTAACCTTTTTTCTAAATTCCTTCAACCAGTAATAGCAGGAATAGACGGCGATCCTGATTTCGTTTCCATCCCTGAATACTAGGCCTATAAATTGCAAATGAGAAATGATGATGAATCTTTCTTATTGCACTTTGATAGGCTATTTCAGCAATATGTTGTTGATATGTATGTTAAACTTGAATCACAAAGATTAGATTATTTGAGAACGCAGTAAGAAGAATTTAGAAAAGAGTTCCTACAAGGTATAGTAGACTCAATAGGTACTGGTGAAGTCTGGGCAGCAAATGTCGGTCAAAGAGTATTTTTACCAGCTAGCTTTATTGGAGGACCAAGAAATATGAGAAGAAAATACATAGATGCAATGGCTTTGGTCCAAAAATTTGGCAAGCCGGATATATTCTTGACCATGACTTGCAATCCCAATTGGCCGGAAATAAAAGAACATTTACTGCCAACAGAGGAAGCCCAAAATCAGCCAGATTTGGTTGTAAGGGTCTTTCGTGCTAAACTAGAAGAATTAAAGAATGAACTTTTGAAGAAAAATATTTTTGAAGAAGTGGAAGCCTATACATATGTGATAGAATTTCAAAAAAGAGGCCTGCCACATGTTCATCTTCTTTTAATCTTAAAGCCTCAACACAAAATGTTCATCCCTGATGAATATGATAAAATTGTCAGTGCAGAAATTTCAGATAAAATAAAATATCCACACTTGTACAGAATGGTTAAAAAACACATGATGCACGGCCCTTGTGGTGTGTTGAACCCATCAAATGTTTGCATGACTAAGCATGGCTGCTGCAAAAATTCTTATCCAAAAGAGTTTTCTGAGCAAACAATTTAGACGCTAGATTCCCATCCAAAATATCGAAGAAGAAACAATGGTGTTAAAGTTAAAGTCAGAAAACAAAAGCTTGATAATAGATGGGTCGTTCCTCATAATGCATATTTACTTGCTAAGTTCAATTGCCACATTAATGTTGAGATCTGCTCAACAATTCAGGCTGTCAAATATATTTACAAGTATATCTGCAAAGGGCATAATCGAATCAGTTTCCATATCAATTCTGATAATCCAAACAATCAGATTGATGAAATTCAGCAATATCAGGCAGCTCGATGGGTTTCGCCACCTGAGGCTGTTTGGAGACTATTTTGATTTTCCATGGGCGAAATTGAACCAGCTATCATTCATCTACAATTGCATCTTCCAAATTTTCAGCCAATTCACTTCAAGAAGCATGAAAATTTAAATAACATAGTGAAAAACTCAAGAAATAGGAAGACAATGTTGACTGAATTTTTCTATATGAATAGAACAAATTCAGTTGCACAAGAACTAAATTGCACATATGCTCAATTTCCAGACCATTTTGTCTGGTTAGTTGATGAAAAACACTGAAAAATTAGAGATAAGGGACATTCTATAGGCCGAATAAATACAGCTCATCCATCTGAGGGAGAAAGTTATTACCTTAGACTTCTTTGTCTAAAGTCCGTGCTCCAAAGTCTTTTGAAGACTTAATGACTCACAATGGAGTGCAAGTTACCACCTTTCGTGAGGCAGTTCTCTTGCGTGGCCTACTTGAGGATGATAATAGCCAGGAAATTTGTCTACAAGAAGCGTCTCTTTTTCATATGCCTTATGAAATGAGACGACTTTTTGCTACGCTATTAGTTTATTCCTGTCCTAATGACCCCAAACAGCTATGGACAAAATTTGAGGCTATCATGTCCCAAGATTTCATGAGAAATACTGATTTGTCTCCTAGAGAAATCAAATGAAATGTTTTAGAGCAAATAAATGGTTTTCTACAGTCAATGGGAAAAAATATAGATTCATTTGGCCTACTTCCTAATAATTTCTCATTCTCAGATGTAGAGAACCAAACAAGAGATGTATTGGCTGAAAAAAACATAAAAGTTCTTGAAAAGGACTTAAATGCGATTTCTTTGCTTAATCAGAACCAAAGGCATGCATTTGAAGTTATATCTAAAAGAGTTTATGAAAATAAGAGTGGTGCATTTTTTGTTGATGGCCCTGGTGGAACTAGAAAATCTTTTCTTTATAGAGCGTTGTTAGCTGATATTAGATCAAAGGGATATATAGCATTAGCGACAGCCGCATCAGGTATTGCTGCATCAATACTACCTAGAGGTAGAATTGCTCACTCTCGGTTTAAAATACCAATTGATACCTCAGAGGGTAGAGCATGCAAAATTAGTAAACAAAGCAGTTTGGCAAGTATGATTAAGGAATGCAAATTAATTATTTGGGATAAGGCTCCAATGTGCAAGAGATCTGCGATTGAAGCTTTAAATGATTTTCTTAGAGATCTTATGAATTCAGATAAGATCTTTGGTGGGAAAGTAATTGTTCTTGGGGGTGATTTCAGGCAAACCTTACCAGTGGTTCGTAAGGGAAGCCAATCTGAAACCATTGTTGCTTCTTTGATTAATTCCCCTATCTGGCCAGCTCTTGAAAAATTAGAGCTCACACAAAACATGAGGGCTCGATTTGATCCCTCATTCACTGATTACTTATTAAGGGTTGGTGATGGCACTGACCAAGCTGAAGATGACAGTCTCATACACCTGCCTTCTTCCATTTTGGTTAGCAACGGTTCACAGAATGCATCACTTCATGATCTGATAGATGTGGTTTATCCCCACATTCATTATAGATCAGAAAATCCTGCCTTGCCATTAAATCGAGCAATCCTCACCATAAAGAATCATTTTGTGAATAAAGTGAATGATATCTTAATTGATAAATTTCCAGGTATAGCAGTAGAATATCTGAGTTTTGATCGAGCTTTGAATCCAAACAACCAAGTTCAATATGAAGATTTTTTAAACTCCTTATCTCCCAGTGGCCTTCCACCCTATAAACTAATCTTGAAACCTGGTGTTCCTGTGATATTGCTTAGAAACCTCGACCCTACTGAGAGTCTTTGCAATGGAACAAGATTAATTTGTAAAAGTTTGAGCAAACATGTCATTCATGCTCAAATAGCTGTAGGAGATTTTGCTGGAAAAGATGTCTTCATCCATAGAATTCCCTTACAACCTCCAACTGATGAACAATATCCTATTCCATATACAAGGACTCAGTTTCCAATTTGCTTGTGCTTTGCCATGATAATAAACAAAGCTCACGGACAAACGCTTGATTATGTTGGTATCTATTTGAAGGAACCAGTGTTTTCCCATGGGCAGCTCTATATTGCATTATCGCGAGCAAAAACTGCTTCTCAAGTCAAAGTGCTCATTCAATCTCCATTTTTTGACAAGCCTAGAACAGACCAGACAAAAAATATTGTATTTAAAGAAGTTCTTGAAACTTCTCGCATAGCTGCCAAGTAAATATGTTGTTTTAGGATTCAGTTCCAGTTTTCCTGAATGTTCCAGAATTTCTTCTCTTTTAACTTACAAACTGATTATGTGTCTTTCTTATTATTATAGATAATAACAATGGCAAGGAGATGTCTATCAGTGAATGAAGTCCACAACAAGATGAGAAGGTGGACAGTGCTTGTGCAAGTCGTGGAGAAATCACACGTGTTAACTAGTAACGGATCGCCACCTATCAGATTTCAGCGTCTCGTGTTAATAGATTCTGAGGTAATATAAGCTGAAACTAATCTTAGCAATTTAACATTTCCTAAATCATCAACATGTCCAGATTATTAATTATCCTCTGTGCAATTTAATTTCAGGCCAATTACTTTTTAATATTGGTTTCTTTTTATGTTTCTTGGGTAATATTGTTTCGTTGGAACTTAAAATACCAATGCTTGCAAATTGACTATAGTGAAATTCTGATTTAACTTACATGATTCTACCCTATAATATTCCAAGGTTTATTATTAACCAATGATATATGCCTAATCAGTATAACTTTCTGTATGGGAGATCATATATAGTGATTTGAAAATGTTACAGCTTGGATGCATTTGAGTGCCTCAATGTGCATTCAATGACTAAAACAAAATACAGAAGACTTACGGAAATGATTTATAGCAAAAGAGGAAAACACAGCAAGTGTAAGCAAGAGTAGTTCACCTGTTCCCAATTTTTCTCCTCTGGACTTTCGAAGTACAAAGAACTTCTTGAAATTTTCAAGAAGGAAAAGAATCTGAAAAAATTCCTGCTACTAACGTGACCAATAGCTGCTAAAGTATCTATACAGAAAGCGTTTTAGATTTTTGCTACTTCAATTCGTTCGAAGAGTCCCGCGTTTTCTCCTGTTACATATCCCTGTATCCGAAATACTTTTTTTCCCTTTAAGGAAAATTGAGGCAAAGGATAGCAGTCTCTTGTCAAATTCTTTTCTGGTTTTTCTACCATTTTCCTTCATAAATGTCTCCAATTATTCTTAGTGATTTGCTTCTTGCAGCTCAAACATTGTTGTTATATGTTTTCTTCCCTCTCTCTCTCTCCTTAAAAAAAAAAACCTCTGCATACTTGCTGTTGTATGTTTCTCACCTTGAGTGTTCTACTTCAGCCTTTTGGTTAATATTGCTCATCTTGGTTCTTTCTGTGAACAGGGGACTATGGTTTCAGCTGTCATTTATGGAAACGACATTCGTTATTTTGCTAATCTGCTGCAACCATTCAAGCGATACTATATCACTAGTGGAACTGTCAAAAAACAGGATGCAAAGTATAAAGTTAGTGACTATCAGTTCTCATGGGTGCTTCATAACAAGACATTAGTTGAAGAGTATGTCGAGCCAAATCCACCAATGCTACCATGCACTTTTGAATTCACCAAATTTGAAGACCTTTTTAGGTCCGCAGACACGGAGAATGTTCAGAGTAAGTTATATCTATGCTTTACTAATTGAAATATAAATTCATTTTCATATTTCCTTTAGCTATTGAAACACAGCCAACCTCTTCTCTTTTGGTTTGTACGAAGATTTACAAGCTGTTGTTGTCACTGCATTTGCGACAAAGGAACAGAATAATGGGTGTACAACAAGAGACTTCATTGTTGTGAATGAAGAGTTAGTTATATAGACCTTACTTTTAATCTTCCTATTCAATGCATAAAACTGTTGCATTCACATATTTCCCTATTTTTTCTCTTCTTTGTAAAGGAAAAAACCAATGCTTCTTACTCTTTGGAATGAGTTCGAACAAAATCAGGGAACACAGCTTGCAAACAGCATTGGGAATGCCAACGTTATCATTGGCATAAAGCTGAAAATCACAACTTTTAATTGTAAGTGAAGTTAATATACTTTTAACAGCTTATACTTCTATGATAGTCATCTAGTTAGAATAACTCAGCCAATCACTGTCTTTTAAATTGCTCTATTACTTAATGAAATCTATTGCTTTTATTATTAGACTTATCCCTGACAACCAAGCCTGGGAGTGGCCTTCTGATTAATCCTCCCACTTCTGAAGCAAATGCACTCAAAGAATGGTACGTATGTTCTTTGATCATTTTAGTTAAACTTTTCTAGATCCTTTTGATAAATTATAGTCTATTGCATTAATTTCTTGGATAGGTATAATGCAAATACAGAAGAAATTGCAGAATTGATACAACAAATGGCATACAAAGATTCATCTAAGCTGCTGCCACCTCCAAGTGCTAATGACATGATCAGTGTAGCTAATGCACTTAACACACTCAAAGATGTAACTTTCTTTTTCGTTTATAACCTGATTTATATCTTTTAGCCATCCAAAATAATGCAAAACTTAGATGTTCTTCTTTCTGTTCACAAAAACATCTATTAGGTGAAAACAGTTTGGATAACAGGAAAAATCAGTTTGTCCCTTGGACAACAAAAATTCTGGTTTGAAGCATGTGAGAACTGCCAAAAGGCTATCAATGTTGACGTAGGATGGGTTATGAGATGCCCATCTTGCAAAGAAGAGAGCAGAGTTGTAGCAAGGTAATTACCAAATTAAGTTTCCCTCTTTTGTAATGAAAAATTAGAATATAATATTTTATTTCCAATGTGTAATAGGACCCGAGTTGGGATTGCTGTTGGTGATGGTACGGGCTCCATAAACACTGTTATCTTTGGCCTTGATGCTGAAAAGCTTATCCCATTTACAGCACTTCAATTCTGGGAAGCTCATACTGAGGTAAGCTAACAATCTTGGCAACAAAAAAATCTGCTACAAGTTTAGCTCTTGCATGATAATATAACTACTAGCTTAATACATCTTGCTTAATGTTATCGATCCTTTTTCCCTTCGTAGATTTCTTCATTTTCCTCTTCAGCTGCCATGAACTTCATGTGCCTATATTTCTGTTGCCCATTATAGTTTCCTATATTTCTGCTGATTTTTCCTATATCATGTGGACTATATTTCTGGTGGAATTGCCAGTTTCATCTTTCTTTTCCATTTTTTGGTTGTTTTTGTGCGTGATGCTCAGCCAGTTGGTTTGCCTGCTAATTTGAACTCTCATGCTTGTAGCCTTTTCTATTAGTTACTGAAGCCACAAACTGTCAAATTCTTACTATTGTGTGAGGCTAATTTATTAGGAATTTAGTTGTAAGAAACCCATAAAGCAAAAGGAGGGGTGGTGGTATTCAGGAAAAAACAGTGATAGCTGTCAATGGGTACATTTTCCTGGATAAGATTCTGAGATTTGAGTCCAATTGAGCTATCCTATAAATGAGATATCGAGTTACCTCTTCTAGTCCCTTCTTTGTCAGATTTGATTAGTTTTAGGTAAATAAGTAAATAGAAATTTTGTGCACAATTGGAACTGTATATTTGATACTAATAGAGTTTGTGCACAATTGGACAATTAGAGCATTGACCATTCTTTGCATGACAGATCCAATCTCAATTGAATTGGAACTGCATGTCCAGAATGAGTCAAATAGTTCTGCCTTCTTTTCACCAAGTGACTTTCTATTGATCCAACAACTAGAACATCTGTCCTTCGTTGCTTTTGCTGGTCTATATTAATAGGCTAGATGAACTCAAAAGATTTCGGCCTTTTTAGGCCTTTACCCGAATAGAAAAAAGATCTCACCATGTAAAAATGTCATGATTGTAGGAAACAAAAGATTATTTGGTTTTGCCATCTTTCATAGTAATTCCATAATGTCTTGGGTATAATATGTTTTGTTTCCTTCCATAACTTATGCTTGTGATCCAATTCTATTTACACAACATGAAGTTACTCAGAATTTGAATATCATTGCTAATTATTTATACTTTAAAACAAAAAAAATCAGGAGCTTAACTTTTCTGCTGAACTAGCATCTGCAATCAGAAAGCATTCGATTATGTGTTTCATTCGATACTATGAGTCAGATTATCAAGGCCAGAAGGAAGGCAAGTATAATATTGTCAAGGCATACACTACTGAGGAATCAGTTCACATTCCAATGGCCATCACAACTGTAGAAACGAATGAAAAAATTCCAGACCTTCATGCTACTGTCCTGCAGCCTGCCAAGAAAAATGAATTTTTCAGTCCATCAACCAAAAAATTGCTTGATACCATCGCTGAATCGTTTGCTACTGCAAACGAAGTGCCGCCTACAATGACCACAGCAAAAAGGGCCTTGGTTTTTGGAACTGTGCCTCCTGGAATTGGTTTGAATTCTGCTGAAGCTAATACACCTACCTCGCTGTCCACCAGTGCACCTGGAAGTCCCTTGAAGAAGCAGCGTGATGATGAACTCTAAACTTCCTTGAAGCCTTTTGAACTGCTGATTTTGCTAATGTTAAAGCACTTTACAGCTGCATTTCTAATCTTGCATCTTTTGACATAATATTGATATCCATTAAGAAATTGTTCTTTTGTGCACCTTAATGGATCTCAATATGTGATCTTTTGTAATTGCAGCCTATGATTGCACTTTATATTAAGTATTTAGCAAGTCATCTCCTGTCTCTGTAAGAGTAACTTGCACTTGAAAATATTAAGCTGTTTGTGAAACTACTTGCCAATCTTTTGTCATCTTCTCTTATCTTTTGCAATGCTAATGATTTTTTTGTTTTGTTTAGTCTTATATTGTTAGCTGCATACTTGATTGGTAATTTATAATTTTAAGAATGTTATTTCACAAACATTACTGTTAATCTTATCTTATACGAAAATATATAACAATAGATTATAGGGGGCCTAGGTTGTGCTTAGCACAGCTGATAACCTCCTAGTTATATAAGAAGAAAGTGGAATTACTATATCAACTTCAACTATTGCCAAGTGGATCCCTCTTATTTTGACACGTGGCCCATTCCTTTTCTTTTCTTCATTTTGCTTTGTTTTTTCTTCTGTTCACTTTATTTCCTTTCTCCTTTTTGGCTAAAGATAATTAAACAAATTCTCATATACACTGCAGGTTTCTTATTTAGTTTCCACTTTGTACTCCGTTTTTTTCCCTATCATCCTAATCATTTATTCTATTTTTTCTCTATTGGATTAGTTGATGCATTTTCTTTCATTTTTGTCCATAATTAACTAAATGAATGGTTTCGTTATCGGAGATAACAATGGGTTTGATATTTCCTTTCTTCCATAGTCCAATAATTATGATTCATGGTCTTCTACTTTTACTGTCTCTCTTTGGTATGTACTATGTGATATATTTTTTTTGTCATTTTTTGCATCTTGATCAGAAACCTTTGTTTATTGTTTTTCTCGCCTTTTCCTTCTTCATCTGACTTTCTTTTCCACCCAAAAGAGGTATGTGATGCTGTGAATATTTTTCCCCCAAATCTAAAGAAACATTTTTTTTCAATTTTTTATATTTTGTTTATTCTGAAACTACGTTTTGATCTTTTTATTTTTGGAAAAAAATTCCCTAAGGCTAACAACAAGATGGGTGGTGATTACATGAAGAATTTTTAGGCTAACAATGAAAGAATTGTAACTACTTTTCCCCCATAAAATAAATAACACCATTATGCAGATTCATTCTAATTTTAATTTTTTATTTATTAAAATTGTTATTTGATAATAGGGTGATAGTACTAGAGTAGAGGAGAAAAAATCTAATAAATGAAAATCCAAGGTAAACAATGATCAAGAAGAAAATAATGATGCCTATTAAATTAAAAATTAATCAGAATCTCTTAATTTATGGATAGGTAATTATATTTTAATTTATATAAAGTTTATTAACGGTAAAAAATGCTTATAAATTGGATAAGGTGGATGCCATGTAAAATAATGTTGGGGCTAGCAATTTAGAATGTGAAGATAATATTTTGTATCTCTTCATTCAACATTTTGAATTACTAGCTTGTATTCATGATAGGTAGTTTATTTTCATGGTTTTTATTTTAGCAAATGATAGCTTGAAAATAAAAGAAGTGTAAAATTAGATTTCAGAATCTTTTACTTAAACTGGTTCTATATGACTTTGTACTCATATCCCTTTTTATTGCCCATAATGATAGATAATGTAATTAGAGTTTGAGATGATTGTTAGGCATGGAACTAGACATATCATTACTATTTGGCTAAAGGAGCTAATAATATTTTGTCGATTTGACTAGCTAAAACGATTGCAGTTGTCTAAGGAATGCATTTGGTGGTGGAAGCTAGCATTGAGGCTTTTAGCTTAGAGTGTCACTGTGACAGGCCCACCTCCCCCTAAGGCGAACCAAAGGGTTCGGCGGACCGCCTGCCCAACTCTCGTCGGGACTCAGTTACTCACTACAGTCCTCAAATAACTTACAAGATATATCTCAAAATTACATCCAATTCTCCAAGAATTTCATATCATAAGCGAAGCGGAAACTAGTTCCCAAAAACGAAGCAAACAAATTTCCAAGAGTGGAACATATATATACATTTGTTCAAGTCTAAACATTCAAACAATCCTAACTATTACACAAGAGGAGTCCGAATTCAAACTGTACATGAGGTAACCCATCCGATCACATGAATAAGTACTACAAGCCCTTTAGCCCTGTGGAGGGGAAATAAAATATTTTTGGGGTGAGGTAGAAACTCAGCGGGTGTCCAGTAAATTCCAGAAATCAAATAAGCTTCACGATAGTGCATGTAAATGATGTCATAATTCAGTGATCAAATGTATGTATTTTGCTCTTGTGAGTCAGTGAAATTATTGTACTTAAATCCAACGCTCAAATAGATCAATTAACAATCCAACAGTAATAGGGAACCATTGTGCTCCAGGTAAACAGTGGTGGAGACGTTGGTTTTAAGCACTAGATTTCCCAAGAACTTAATAGAGCCAAATCATGTCATGGCACACACACAAACACAAATGATATGCAACCGAGTAACCAATGCAAGAACTAGTTCGAAAAGTAACCAATGCAATTAATTCGAAGAGTAACTTTGCAAATAGTTTGGGGATCACTCACCAATCACGGCTCATGAACCATCCATCATATATCATTGCCTTGCTCAAGTCCAAGCCCTAGATCACAAATATCAGGTCAAGCAAAGGAATTCTAACATTATCAAGCTTTTATCACCTTTTGGCATTTTAATCACAAGTAAAGCTACACTTATCCGATTGAAACGAATCTTATGACTTTACGAAGCTAAGACATATACCAACATTTCCTATGAAGACCTCCAAAGCCAAATCATACATATTCAGGGTCAAAAACTGAATCTTAGAGAGAAAGGAAACTGTCCATGAAACAGGGGTTATGGGCAGTCAAGGGTATTTCGATCATTTCACAGGCTACAGTACTCCAGTCAAATCTGAAATTTTGTAGGTAACTAGCTAACTCATGTATCTACAAGTTTCATGTTTTGAACAAGGGCCGATTCAGTCTCTTTTACGGTCAAACATACAGTGCAAAAATAGGATAGATTACTACCACAATTGGAAACCCTAATCTGGAATTCATGTACTCTAGCTGAAATTCCTTTAGGTAATCAAAACTAGTATACCAAAGCTTCATTTATCACAATATCAAGCTATCATGCTATGAACAACCACTACTTATCACATGAGGGCAGAAATAATACCATAAAAACTGAAATTACATTTCTAAACAAATCTTTGCATATAACCATCACTAATTACAATTAAGGCTAGTAATTCCACCTTAACACTAGAATAGCTTCTACTAATCATATACATGGCAAATCAAAAATGAAATCACTTAGATAAAGTTTGGAAATATCACCAACATGGAACTTCATCATCCCAACTTCCAAATCACATGAATCTCTATAAAATTAATCAAGATCAACTTATCCAATACTTAATCACAAGATTAAAGAACAAAAGAAGCTTCTAATGATTATGCCTTCCAACACCTTGAAAACAAGCAAAGCAAGATCCTTCATTTCTACCAAAAGGCAACTCAACTCAAAGCGATCAAATGCTCTCAAAGATTGGACAGCACTTCCCCTTAATTTCTTTATTTCCACCCTACAATAAAAACACCAAATTGCATCTTACCAATCACAATTACACATACAGGTCATAAGCAATAAAACACATTCAATTAGGGCCACAATACCCTTCCACTTGAGCCAATTAATAGCTCCAATACTAATCACAAGAAAGCCCCAATTCAAAACCCTAGAACTGAAATTTCCACACAAACCAGAAATTTTCCGCAAACAATCATATCCAACGTATACAAGATCCATTTTACACCACAACAAGCTATCATTCCATGACCAACGAACCATAATCATATAAAATCAAAAAATGCCCCAATAAATCAGAAATTGGTCCAACTCTACTTAAAATCATGAAATCATCCACAATACAACATATTTAACCACTATAAACCATTAATATGCCATTATTAGAACAAAGAGAGAATTTTTCAAGCAAGATACCTTAAGTCCTCAAGAAAAATGATGACTTAGAGCTTTTCCTTCCAAAACAACTCCACCAACCTCTTTAAACCTCCTTAGTACACACTTGTATGGAGTAGTTTCCAAAACCATCGGTGAAATCTCAAGATTTAGTGAAGAAAATCAAAGGGAAAGAAAAGGAGTTTTTCCTCTCTTGTTTTCTCTCCAAGACAGCCGGCCAAGAAAGGAGTAGGAAATGGAAGATATTTCAGCCAAAAGCAAGATAAGAAGGAAGAAAATCAGCTGGTCAAAATTGATGGCTGACATGCCACGTCACAATCCGGCCGGATTCCAGGCCGGATTCAGGGCAAAACGAAATCCCATTTTTTCAAAATGCACAAACAATCCGGCAGGGAATCCGGCCAAGAACTGGCCGGATTTGGACCTCCCATTTTCCACCAAATTTTTTTTTTGCTTCTTTTCCTTTCGGGCATCACAGTCACTCGACAAAATATTATTAGAAAATTCTATTTTGATTAAGAAGACATAATTGCAATCAAAGTTGGATTTGAATTTGCATATGTAGATTTAGAAACATGGCAATTCATGTTTTTATTTAAACTTGCTATATGTATTCTATAACTATTTGGTTAGATAATATTTTCATATATTTGTAATGCTATTAGACATGATTTAAATGGATAAATTAACTTGCTTTTTCTCTCAAAAAAGAAAAAAATATGCAAGTTTGTATGTTTTTTTATTGATGTTGAAGATTGTGACAGGTTTTGGTGGCTTTCTATATTTTTTCTAATTATTAAAATGTTAGAAACATTATAACTACTTTTTATTTAATTACAACTAAAACTATGCTGCTATTAAATCGATAATGCACTCATAATGGATTTGCTTTCTTTTTTTTTTTGGTATCATTATGTACACATAATATTGGTTGAAAACTCTTTGTCCAAATCACAATAAATTGGGGTTAACTTTATAGATGGAATTTCTTTTCACAACAAATTTTAATTATTTTTATACTTAATTTTTTTCCTATATTTCTATTTATTATGTACTAAAACATTTGTTACTATGTATTTAACTAATGTTCTAGAGGGCCTCTAGTCTTACATCCTATCCTAATAGAGTAAAAGGGCGAATGGTCTTAGGAACAGTGATTTTGGTCCCTCATTGGCACCTTAAGTGTGTGGGTAGTTTTGTAATTTTGGAACATGGGTGGTGTGGTTATTGTGTGATGCTTTGAGAAATTTATGGCTGGCATTTGTTGTTGGGTTGGCTTTTGACGGTGGTGCCCTAATATACCGATCCTGCCCTTGGTTCACTTATTTGAGAATAGTTTGGTCCCCTATTGGCACCTTCCGTGTGTGGCCAATTGTGGAATTGCACAGAAACATTTGGTCATCCTCCTAGGCTGGTGCTGGACAATTGCATGGCTGTGAATGATCATTGTATCTGGACAATTGGCACCTTCCGTGTGTTGCCATCTGTGGAATTGCACAGAAACATTTAGTCATCCTAGGCTGGTGCTTAACAGGTCTGCCTTTATTAGACCAGTTCTGCCTTTCCTGATGTTAATACTACTTTTTTCAATGCAGTATCTTTTGCAGTGTAAATACACTTTATTCATGAGTTCCAGCAAAACTAACAAACTAACCCCATTGCAGAAATAATATCTGCGCAACCTCGCGCGAAGCGCGAGGCGCACATCAACTAGTATATATATATATATGGCTTTGCTTCCCTAAGGATTTTGTTGAAGTGGGTTTAAGGATGGAAGCTGGAAATCTAATGCCACCAAACTCAACTTTCAACTTGTAGTAATAAAGTTCACCTCTTTCCCTCTTCTTCCTTTGGCTTTGAATTAACCCCTTGACATACCATACGGTTTGTTTGAGCCCAGTGGTAGGATTAGGAAGTCAATAATAATAATAATGGTTTTGCCCAAATTCGAGTTTGAGACAAAACTATTGTTGTATGGCCCATCCGTTTTTATTTTGGTACTGGCCAACAAAAGCCCATTGAAGCCACTCTTTAGCCGACCCTCCTGACGTGGGGCATTTCGGGTTTTTTTTTATAATTTTATATTTTGCCTAATTAGATGGTGACCTGTTGCTAGTCACAAATCTCGCCCAGATTTCATTATTGACTTCTCGTGTAATTTGAGGTAGGCTTTGTTTTGTTAGCTCCGTCCAGTATTTAACTATTTATTCATTTGACGTGGTCCATCAGTTTTTTATTACTGTGATGCAATGACCCGTCAACGTCGGTAACTCTGAAGATAAAATCAACGGATGACGGTAAAAAAAGTTAAACATATAGTAAGGGTGTTCAATTTCTTCTGTTTAGTATTTCCTTAGAGAAACACAAACCAATAGATTCACACTCGTACTAAAAGCCAAGGATGTAATAGTTACACTTGGCGGATGCTGCTAACTGACGGTGACGGGCGCACACAATTTGATTCCCACATCCACTTTACACAATACAACACTTGAATTGAAAGAGGACAGATTCAATGTCCACGATGATCACACGCAGTTCTAACACCAGATGGGGAATCCAATGATAACAAGCAAATTTAAAGAAATTTGGTTTACATGTAGAAGAGAACCAAGAAATTGATTTTTTTTTCAGTTCTATACTTTTGGTTTGGTTGTATATCCTAGAGGTACCAAAAGAAATAGAATTCCCTAATAGAAATGGTAATTCAGGTTACAAACGTCTTGTGCTGTATGTTTGGGGTTAACGTATCAACCCATAAGTTTTAACGGGTCAATAACATGTCATTCATGTCAACCCACTTGTTGACTCATTACGACCCATTTTGTTTTTGTGTCATAATCGGATCAACCCATTTTTGACACTGCGAGTAGCCCCGTGTATCCCATTGGAAAGGCAGCTGAAGCTACTTCTTTTGGCACGTTGAGATGTGAGCTTTTTTTTCACTTCATTTAATAGAAAAGATAGATTTTATTGCGGCTACTGAATGAAAGAGCACCTCTTACTTATAAAAATCCCCTGCTGCAATGGTGGAGCTTTGAGACATAGCCTTCTTCCACCATACACATGACATTATGTCGTCAACCGGCATGTTTTGGTAAGTCTATGGTCCCCCTTACTCTTTTACGCATTACATATGCTGCGATCGGGACTATTCAGAATATGTTTCGATTCTTGTGCCAAACAACTGGAATGTACTCTGCGGAGCTTCATAGTGTTGTAAAATATAAGTGTATTTCAAAAGTTTTGTCCCACATCGAAAAATGAGAAGGATTGCTTTCTCTGTCCCACATCGGGAAGTGAGAAGAGTTGCAGTCTTTGTCCCACATCGAAAGTGAGAAGGGTTGCACCTCATTCTAAAATCTATAAATAGCATCCATTCCCTCCTCAGAAACTCACCCCGACAGCTTCATTTGATACCTTCCTGATAGCTGCTCTGACTCTCTCTCTCTCTCTATTATTAGTGACAGTTGATACCTTCCTGACAATTCTGTTCTCTTCTTCTCTCCTTATATCTGCTGGTTTAATTTGCTAGTTCTGGTCCTTCTTGTTTGCAACAAGAAAAGAAAGTTTATCTTTCTTATTCGTAACAAGAAGAAGACTTGTTTAATCTTGGGGAGACATTTCAATTCATGAAACAGTTTCTTAGGACAGTGCTACGCACGACTCAAGCAGATAGTGTTAACATTGTTGTGGCTGTTTCACCAACAATCTAAGAAACTATGGCCTCCAACAATGTTAACACCTCGCAAATCAGGATCAGTTGCAGTCGCATTACGTTTGGCTAAACCTTTTCCAAACGTATCCAAAATTGAAGTTTTTGCCAATGAAAACTTCAAAAGATGGCAAGAACGTGTGCACTTTCTACTAGACATTCATGGAGTAGCCTATGCACCGACAGAAACACAACCACCTACAACTACGGATGTCAAGATGCAAGAATCGTGGCAATATGCCAATAAGGTTTGTCGGCATACTATTTTACAAATTCTTTCAAATGTGATCAATGAAAATGCATCTTCATCTGCTTATGTTGTTGATTCAATTTCTTTATGGCATGCTAGATTAGGACATGTTAATGCAAGTTATATAAAGAAAATGCAATCTAGTGGCCTAATTTCTGGTATTAATGATAAAATGGACAAATATGAAATATGTGCAAAAACCAAAATAACAAAGAAAAGTTGTGTAAGTGTCCAAAGAGAAACTGAATTATTAAGTTTAATTCACACAGACTTAGATGATTTGAAACAAACTACGATTAGATGAGGTAAAAGATATTATGTTACTTTTATTGATGATTACTCTAGATACACTAAACTTTATTTACTTAGAAATAAGGATGACATTCATAATGCCTTTTTATCCTATAAGTCTGAAGTAGAAAATCAACTTAATAAAAGGATAAAAAGAATTAGATCAGATAGAGGAGGTGAATATTTAGCTTTGGATAGCTTTTGTGAACATGAAAGTATAATACATGAAGTAACACCACCTTATTCACCACAATCGAATGGTGTAGCTGAAAGGAAAAATAGAACACTAAAAGAAATGATGAACTCCATGTTAGTTAGTTCTCATGCTCCTAATAATTTGTGGGGGGAAGTTATTTTATCTGCTTGTCATTTACAAAATAGAATTCCACATAAAATAACTAACAAAACACCTTATGAGTTATGAAAAAAATTATAAACCTAATTTGAAATATCTAAAAGTGTGGGGGTGTTTAGCTAAAGTATTATTGCCTGAACCTAAGAAAAGAAAATTAGATTCTAAAACTTCTGATTGTATATTTATTGGATATGCTGAACATAATGCTGTATATAGATTTCTTGTTTTAAGAAGTGATGTACTTGATTGTAATACAATCATTAAGACAAAAAATACTAAATTTTTTGAACATATTTTTTCACTGTCTAATAAATTTTCTCATACATCTGTTGAAATAAATAGAGAAATAACCTCTAATGAGGAGTTGACAAGGAGTAAAAGGACAAGAAAAGAATTTTCCTATGGAAATGATTTTCAAACCTTTCTTGTTGATAATGATTCGTTAACTTATTTTGATGCTATTTCTTCTTCTGATAGCAAATTTTGGAAAGAAGCAATTAAAACTGAAATGACTCTATTATGAAAAATAAAACTTGGATTTTGGTAGATTTACCACCTGGTGCAAAACCTATTGGTTGCAAATGGATTTTTAAAAGAAAATATAATCCTGATGGCTCTATTGATAAATACAAAGCTCGTTTAGTAGCTAAGGAATTTTCTTAAAAATAAAATATTGATTATTTTGACACATTTGCACCAGTAACAAGAATTTCCTCTATTCGTGTTTTATTTGCTCTGGCTTCTATTCATAAACTTTTTGTTCATCAAATGGATGTCAAAACAGCCTTTTAAAATGGTGATTTAGAAGAAGAAATTTACATGATCCAACCTGAGGGATGTATCATTTCTGGACAAGAAAATAAGGTTTGTAAATTAACTAAATCTCTTTATGGCCTAAAACAAGCTCCTAAACAGTGGCATAAGAAATTTGATCAAGTATTGATCAAAGACAGATTTTCGTCTGTAGAAGTGGATAAATGTGTATATGTTAAAATTATAAATGATCAATATGTCATAATTAGTTTGTATGTGGATGATATGCTTATTTTTTATACTAGTCTAGATATTGTCAATAGTACTAAAGAATTTTTGTCTTCCAATTTTGATATGAAAGACATGGGTGAAGTTAAAATGATATTGGGTGTTAAAATCATAAAAAGAGATGATAGTATAATGTTGTCACAAGAACATTATATAGAGAAACTTCTTAAGAAATTTGAAAATTATGATGTGACACCTGTGAGCACTCCCTATGATGTTAACACTCAATTAAAGAAAAATAATGGTGACCCAATTTCTTAGTTGAAATATGCTCAGATTATTGCGAGTATGATGCATTTAATGAATTTTACAAGACCAGATATAGCCTATGTTGTATGTAGATTGAGTAGATATACCTATAATCCCAATCGTGAGCATTGGTCAGACTAATGAAATATTTGAGAGGTACCATAAATTATGGTATTTTATATAGTGGATTTCCCATTGTACTAGAAGGATACAGTGATGCTAATTGAATCTCTTATTCAAATGATACAAAATCCACTAGTGGTTATGTGTTTACCCTTGGTGGTGATGCAGTAGCATAGAAGTCAGCTAGGCAGACAGCCATTGCTAGGTCAACTAAGGAGTCAGAGTTTATAGTTCTGGAGTTGACTGGTTCTGAGGCTGATTGGCTAAGGAATTTCTTAGCCAATGTTCCTTCAAGTAAGGATCTGTTACTTCCCGTGCCTATACACAGTGATTGTCAAGCGGCTATTGCTATTGCTAAAAAATAAATCTTATAATTGTAAAAGTTGACACATGATATTGGGACATGATGTCGTAAAGCAGCTGTTTAGAGATGGAATTATTTCCAATGATTATGTAAAGTCAGAGTTGAATTTGGCCGATCCTCTGACTAAACCCGTAGGAAGAAAATTGATTCTTCAAACTACAAAAGAAATGGGACTTCGACCAACAAGTTGTCAATAGAGACAGTAACCCAACCTATGTGATTGATGATCCTTGATGATCCCATGAAGTAGGTTCATATGGGTAATAATAAGTCAATATTGATGGTAAAGCACTTCAAATTTAAGTCCCTCCAGAGATAAGTGCTTTGAGTAATTGTGAGGATGAGTTAAAACTTTTAATGAATTCATATCCCATTAGGGAGGTGTAGTTAAAGTAATACACACTTGATGAATTCACCTATACGAGAGTAGAGTGGGGCCGCTCCTATAAGATTCATTGGTCAAATCTTTAGAGCTCTCATGAATAACCAGGAGGCGCATGGCCTAAAAGCGCAAAATCGCGTTAACAGCAAATTATGGGTTGCAATGTGATTGATAAAATCTCTATCATACATCAAGAGTTATTGGTTCATAGAAATTTATATTTCACCAATAATTCTGTAAGTCATGTTTTATCAATCTAAGTTTGGTTCATAATCCAAAAGACACCAAACGAATTACATTTCACCCAAATAAATCCAGCAGATTATTTTCTTATCTTTTGTCCAAAAACCTTTTGAAATAGGAAGGAGATTGTTGTAAAATATAAGTATATTTCAAAAGTTTGTCCCACATCGAAAAATGAGAAGGATTGCTTTCTCTGTCCCGCATCGAAAAGTGAGAAGAGTTGCAGTCTTTGTCCCACATCGAAAGTGAGAAGGGTTGCACCTCATTCTAAAGTCTATAAATAGCATCCATTCCCTCCTCAGAAACTCACCCCGACAGCTTCAGTTGATACCTTCCTGATAGCTTGCTCTGACTCTCTCTCTCTCTATTATTAGTGACAGTTGATACCTTCCTGACAATTCTGTTCTCTTCTTCTCTCTCTATATCTGCTAGTTTAATTTGCTAGTTCTGGTCTTTCTTGTTTGCAACAAGAAAAGAAAGCTTGTCTTTCTTATTCGTAATAAGAAGAAGGCTTATTTAATCCTGGGGAGACATTTCAATTCATGAAATAGTTTCTTAGGACAGTGCTACGCACGACTCAAGCAGATAGTGTTAACATTCTTGTGGCCGTTTCACCAACACATAGTTCAAATGGTGGCGTTGTTGGAACGTATTTCGGTGATCCCCAGTGCTCTAAGGGGTCTAGTCGGGATGCCCATCCTTATTTTCATTGTCGGTGAACAGGTACCAGTGGTAGTGTGATAGTGGTCAGAGCAGGAAGTCCATATCTTGAATCGTTGCTTTGTGTGTTGGAGATAGAACCCTTGGTGTCACCCTAATTTCATTACCTCATATCCAGCTGACTGAAATACTATGGGGGCTTGTCTTCTTAACCTTCTGATACTACCCTGTCACTTCCTCTTCGGATTGATCTTCCTCTTACATTGTCGTAATCTCACCTGCAGTGAAAAAAAATTCAAAGGTGGTTGTCGCGCCCCACTTTTCGAATGAATGAATTGTGTGTGATGTGTGTGTGAAGTGTGGTGTGAACGTGTGCAAAATGAAAAGTAAAAAGGCCATGGGACTTTGGAAAGCGACGATTTGGCCAAATGAAATTTTAAAAAGGGTTTTTTTTAAATATGAAAACGGAGTCGCCACTTGGTATAGATTTGGAGTGTACCAAGTCACCCAAAAAGTGTTTTTTAAAGACAAAGTAGTAAAACCCTTTTTAAAACGACTCCTAGTCCACGTAAGCCAAAGAAAAAGGTTCGGGGGTCACGTTTGACAAAGGGGAAGGCAAGGATAGAATCCAAGGCACCCCTTTGACCTAGCCAAGGCTAGTTGCGCGACTTAACCTTACCTTTCCTAATTTTCTACCCAATATATGTTCGCACGTTGGATATGACTATATGAATGCAAAACGGAAAGAAAAATGCAATCCTAAATTCTACGATGTCTCTCGTGAGGCTTTTGGTCCCAAACCACATGAATTGTGGCGGCCAACAAAGGAAAACCCCATAGAGGTCGATTAATGCAAATGAGACTCAAATGTGCAAGTGTGGAAGTGTATGAAAGAAATTAAAAATCCAAGTGTTTGTGTGCAAGTGTATGGAAAGGTGCACGTGTGCAATTGTATGAAAATTCCAAGTGTTTGTGTGCAAGTGTATGAAATATAGTGAGAAGTGCGTATAGGTGTAATTAAATGCAATTTTGTGAAGTAGAAATCAAAATGAACAATAAGGAAAGGAAAATGTGAATTGAAAAGAATGAGTGAGTGATAAATGAGAATGAATGAACCTAAGGGAATGCATCAGGTCGGGTGTGGGAATGACTCCTAACTTTTTCGACTTCGATTTTCCCTTTGATTAGAAGGCAAAACTAGCGTGCTAAGGCTATCGAGTAGCCACACTCGCTCGTTTCCCTTATCAGAAGGGGACCCTCAAGCAAATGGACCCTACAACTATCATGATATGCAAAAATCCTAAAATGAAGGGAAAGGGGGTTCGAGGAGCATGCCAAGTGATAAAACTAAGAAAAATGCATGATATGTGGTGAACAAGCAAATGATATGCTAATGAGGGGAAATCCCTAAGGGTCTAGCGTTGGACTAGCCCATTCTATGAATTCCGACTAGCGTTGGACTAGCGGAAACGTATATTCATCCATTCCATTCATTTATGGCTATGAAAGCAAGTAGACATGCCAAAATACTCGTAAACACATAGCACATAGCATTTAGCATGCTCGACTAGATGCAAGAGCCTAATAAAGCAATTAAACATGTAGCAACAAAAGCAAGCAACCAGGGGGAAGGGGAAGTGGACCAGATGCTCTCCGAGCCCTATCTATTACAAGCCAAGAGGTGTACACATACCCCATAAAACTTAAAGGGGAAGGGGAAATGGACAAGATGCTCTCCGAGCACTATCTATTACAAGCCAAGAGGTGTACACATACCCCATAAAACTTAAATAAAATTAAAAGCAAGTAAATGCATGTAAGGATGTAAGGAAAGCGAAATAGACAGGCATATTCACATAACACGTAGGAGCACATAGGAAAAATAAAATCAAGAATATAGAAGTTACCTCCCTTGCAATGGAAATCGAGTAGATGAGATATTAGCTTCAAAACAATAAAAAGGTCAAGGTACCAATTTATTTGGCAAAATCACAAAGGATGGAAAATAAGCATGAATTTGAATCAATTAAATCATATAGACAATTCACATTTAAGAAGTCAAGAGAAGAAGGGACTTAATTGCAAAAATGAACAAAGTTTTGGGGTCAAAATTAAAGAAAAATAAAGTTCAGGGACCTATTTGCAATTAATTAAGGACCGAATTGAAAGAAGTTGAAAATGTCCAGGGCCACAGTACGATTAAGGAGAAATTCAGGGACTGATTTGCAAAAACGTTTTCTGGTTTCCTAATGGATCAAGCCACTTGGGCCGTTTCCTTTATTTGCTTGGGCCAAAGCCTTACAAGCCCAACCGAAAATTCAAAACAAAAAGGGAATGGGCCATCTTCACCTTTCTTGGGCCAAGATAACTTGGCCCAATCGAAAGTCCAAGGAAAACAAGTGGGCTAGTATAATATTTTGCTTCAAAAATTAGCCAACCAAAAAGATGGGCCTTGACCCTCTAGCCCAAACCAAAAGCATAATACTAAGCCCAATCAACATAAGCAAATCAATTAAAATTACTAAACCACAATTATGAATTAAATTCCAGAATAGATCCATCCAAAAAACCACATAAAATATGCAAACAGAGGATTAAGCTTAAAAGGGTGAAATTAGTTTGATTTTTCCAGATTTTGCCACGGTGAACAAGGGGGAGAATCGGGGGGCTAAAGTGTAATTTCCAAAGAGTTATTTCATGCAAGCTACGGGGAAGCTTTGCTTCAGCAATTTTTGCAACCAAACGCTTTTCTGCAATTTTTCTTTAGAACCAGTACGCCCGTTTTATTATGAGCGAGGCAACCTATGCGCAAAAACCAAATCATGCTAATAAGATTGACCAATGAATCTAGGCTACCAAACAAAACATACATCTTTAGCTAGAATCAAATTAACTCTCAACGATTAGAGTGAATCAAGTACGAAAGCAAAACAGAAGACAATTAACATCGAAACCCCCAAATTCCTTCCCATTTTATTGATTAGTAACTTTTGCCATCAAAAAACACTCCTTTACCAAATTTGGCAACTCACACAAAAGACAAAGGGGAAGGCTATGCGATCATGGCACGAATGACATAACTAAATTGATCTAATGAGAGTAAACTGCCAAAATTAACTAGACTAAAACCCCTGCCCATCTCCCCATGCGCGTGGACTACAAAGGATTTATTTACTCCTCATTCTCACTCGGACCTTTTGTCAAACAGAAAATGGGCGTTAGGAACTTCATTGATTGTCACTCCCACGAAGTCCCGGCTAACCCCAACATTATCAGAGAAACCAGAAATTACAACCCAATCAACAGACCGCATGCAACCAATCACGGAAATCATTATCTTGCTCACCATCCCAAATGCTAAAACTGGAAGTGCCTTTTTCGTCCAATCATGACAACAAGAAAACTCAAATTTCAGCATCTTGAACTTCCTAAAAAATGGTTAAGCAGGTAAACATGTCTGCTATAAGCGCAATCAACTTCATTAACTAAGCAAACAGAACTACTACAGAAGCCCACAATTTGTACAATTTTTGGCCAGGTCTGAAATGGGATTCACCGCACGAGTCATCATTCGAGAGGAATTTTTAATTGAGCATTTTGTCAAGCAACAAAAGAGCATATAAATTTAATGACTCTTTGTTCAATCAATGCTGTAACTAGCCCACAAATTTGTCAAAAACAAAGAAATTCAGCCCAGAAATTGCGCAGAGAATCAAGATTTCAGTCCAACTTAGCACGTAAGGCGCGGACAATCTAAAATCACGAACAGTAAATTAAACATTGACTTCAGGCAGACCCAGGGCTTCAGCAACCCAATCTCAACCCAGATATCGAACATCAAATTTTTCTCTCGAATACAAACATTGGGTAATGAATCGTATAAAAACTCCAAGCAATTGGGCTGTTCTACAAAGTGCAGCAAAAATCATTTTTAAGTGGGACTTTCGGTTAGGCATTTTGTCAAATAATACACGAGCTTAAGAAAAATCAGCAAGTCTGTGCTCAATCAAAGGTGACAACCAGCCCAAAAATTATCAAAAACAGAAAAACTCAATTCCGGTCCCCATATACAGCACGCACATTTCTAAATTTAAGGCCAATTAGCAGGGAAATTACACTAAAAGAAACCACGGCAGTCCCATTTCCGACCTCCTTTGCGAATAAAGAAAACCAGAAATTTCAAATGAAACTCACGCAACCCAAAATTTATACAAAGGAAAGGATAACAACAAAAAGAAAAAATGTTTGATCATAAAAATTTCTAGGGAAAAAACTTCTTCTTCCTTGCTGCCAAAACAACACTCTTCGGCCAACTTTGGATTGACCAGAGCCGCACCTCACATATAGACAGACACAAGATTTCATCAATTTTCCCTGCTTTGATTCAACGTCTTCTATCAGGCATTTCTTCAAACACCAAATAAGCATCAAATTTTAGCTAACCTCTGCTCAATCGAACCTATGACCCGCCCAAAATTTTACCGGCACCCAAAACATTCAATCCAATCAACCCACAGAGCATTTACAATAAAAAAGAAAACGGACAATCAATCAAGAAAGCGACACAACCGATTCACAGAAACATACTTGGGGTTGGGGATTTTCCAGAATTTGCACTTGAAGAAGTCAAGCTGAAATTTAAAGGGCTTACAATGTTCTTGGTGAAGCTTCACAGGCGGCAATGGCAAGTTGGGGGTGGTGGCAGTAGCGACCCCTGCTGCTTCGACGGCTACGGTGGCGATGACGGACAGCAGCTGCTGCGGATGCGGATTGGTGTGAGGAAGAATCTGGGCAGGCGGCAGAGGGAGTTAAAATTGTGACTGTCGTGTTGGGAATTTTTCCTCCTCTCACGATTATTGAAGCGGAAGCCCCCCCTCTTTTTAGATTTTTCTCTCTGTTTTTCTTAGCTCTTTTGCAGCTTGCTTTTTCCTTTTCCCCCTTTCCTTTTCTTCTTCCAACTCCTCCACCGCAAGCTCTCTCTCGGTTCCTCTTTCTCACGAAGCTCCCCCATTTTGCCTAAACCCCTTCCCCTGTTTTTCTTTCTTAGCCTTGTTTCTTCACTCTTGTTCCTCCCTCTGTTTCTTTTCCTTTTCTTTCTTTTTGTCTACCCGAAACCTCCCCTGTTACTTCCAACCCTTTTGCTCTCCCCAATTTCCATTTTTCTGTTTTTCCCGTAGCCTTCTTAGCCGAAGCCCAACTTCCAGATTTTCCTCTGTTTTTTTTTTTTCCCCAAAGCTCCAAAACCTCTCTTGCGTTTTTAATTTTTCCTTTTGGCCACTTAGCCGCCTTCCGTCGTCCTTTCTGTTTTCGGCTCCTCTCCTTTTAATGCCTTCCCCAAAAACTAACCCTAAAATGAAAGGTTCAGATCTCATCCTCCAAAAATAGGCTTATGTGCAAAAATAAAATAGAATAAGATGAAGTAAAACCCTAACATCGAAAACAAATTGAATTAAAAATTAAATGATTGAAGTTTAATTTAAATGATAAAATGACTTAAAAAAAAATGAAATTAATCAAATAATAGAAATAATAGTAAACAAAATTTCTTAAAAATTTGGTGTCTACAGTGGTGCCAGAGCACTCCTTTGATCTAGTCAGATTTGTACACTTGCCAGCTCCTTGCACATCCTCTTTAGAACATATGTTATCGTTACCGGCGAAAAAAAAAAGAATGGTAAGGAAGTAGGACTGTGCATGGATGCCAACGTTACTGGGATTTATTGCAATTATTGCATATGGTGCTGGTTTGGATTTTTTCTTTTTGGAATTATCGTAAAAAAATGTGCATTAGGAATTTGATATAAATGAAATAAAAAGACAATTAAAAAATATATTAATGAAAAATATAAAAAAAATTTTAAACTAAAAATAACAATCCAAACAAGACAATAACCATTATACTTCAATTCAATGTTCACTAGACACCTTTTGCCAGCATTTTCAGGTCAGGATCTGCTGGCAACTTTTATCAACAAGTATAGTTGTACACATCTGGTTCGGTTTAATTCACTCCAAGTTTTCCCTGATCTCGTTCGGCATGTCCCTTTCTTCAATAGTAAAAGATTAGTTATAAATTATTGATGTTTAATTTAAAAAAATAATAAAAAACCTGAATTGATGCGAGAAGACTCCGTAGAGAAAGGGAAATTGTACATGGACCATGGTACATGGTTGCGCTACGTGGCCTTAGAAGCTAGAACCGTCTCCGACTCCACTGGCAAATTAGGGGTGCACATGTAGAGCTTGTCCCTGTTCTAGAGCTTAGTGGTCATCGTGATGTATTACTCATTCCATCCATGGTCAAAGTAAACTTTTCACTTTTTACTTCCACGTTCTTAAGGTTTGGTAGAGTGAAAAATCAAGAATTCAAATCTTATCTTTTATTAATTGTCACAATATGTGGTTTCTCAAAAAATTCATACAAGTGCATAATGTATCCATCTAATTCGATGGTGATTCAGTCCCCATTGGTCCCCCATAGGCACAGTTAGACCTCCTCCTTATATTAGAATAGAGTAGGATAATATAGATAAAAGTGACGATGACAAAAAAAAAAGACACACAAGGATCATTTTGTAAAATCTAACACTACATTGTTGCTATTTTTCTATTTTTTGTTAAATGAGAAAATAAACTATCTCATGCACTGATACATTTATTATAATTTCATATTTTGAATGCGAGTATATTAACATGAATTCATCCGATGTCAAATCATCCAAACATAATCATTATGTGTTTTTTTAGAAAAATTGATTTTCCACAAAAAAATCTCCAATTATGGGATACAAGAAAAGTTATACTTGATGTGGTGGAGGAAATCAAGGTTAATTTTAATGTGTCACATGGATAAAAGTAGACCATATATCAAATCTATCTGAATATTATAGCAAAAAAATTTTAAGTGTCGAAAGAATATTTTTTTTTATATTCAATTTGTATCAAAAGCCAAATAATGGAGTATCCTAATGTGTCAAAATCAATCTTTTATATAAATAAATTGACATTATTTAATGGTTGGTGCTAATGTGACGAGTAGTGAGTCGTAGCTGAATTTTTGCATTATTTAATTTTAAGTGATGTCAGGTTCCTCACTTGGATTAGGTCTGTTTGTTTGGACTGAAAATTTTTTTCCCATGGAAAATCTTTTACGCAATCAGGAGTAAAATAACTTCCGCATCTGTTGTACTGAAGTTATTTTCCAATAACTCTCAGAGCTCATCAACCTCACGATCCCTTTAACAGGAAAAATTTTGAGAGCTCATCAGTCTCATGATCCTTTACTAAACCGAAAATTTTCAGATCATGACTGAAAATTATCTATTGTGCCCAACCTAGACCTACAGCCGCCTTCCCCGCCACCACCACAAAGAAGCCTCCCCATCTTCCTTATCTTTCTTAGTACTATTTGTAAGCATCAGTGAAGTGCTTCATCTGATAGAACTCTATCAATGATAAGGATCTCATTCTCGAAGCAATTTCCATTGACATAGCGATTAGGTAATTAGTATGATCGATAATGGTAATGGGTTTGCAATACTATGGATTTCCTGATCATGGAGTATGATCTAATTTTTTGGAATTTGAAGTATTTGGATTGGGGTGATGAATTGATATAGGTGTGGATGGGAGTTCTGGTCGTTGGCAGAAGGAATCTGACGAATCTTTGAGGGGAACATTCTTTGTGGGTTTTGGCTTCAAGGACTATTTTTCAAAAGTGCACCAAACACCTGAAAATGAAGGGAAATAATTTTTTTTCATATGAAGATGATTTTCATTGAAAATATTTTCCTTAGGAAAAAATTTTACACCGAAACAAACGGACCCTACATCGTCGAATGGGTCAGCATCCAATGACAGTATGGCAGTATGCTCTACTTGTCTATGCATCGTGAATCATGTAAGTATTTAGTGACAAAGTTTCATCTATTGTCCTCTGATGAGATGACATTTTTAAATGCTGTTAAGTTTACATATAAAACTTGTAGCATAGGGCCATTTCGGTGTTCGAGTAATAAATAGAGGAAGTTCCCATCCAGATATGATTTCGAAGTAAATTTACTAATATAATGCTGAAAACTCCATATAATTGAATGTTATATTCAAAGTTCTTTGTGAAAACTATGAAAGAGTAAATGAGAGCTCACTAATTCATTCAACACAGAAATTATTAAAGAATCCACTATGACATTTTTGTCAAGTATTAATTGTTTGTTAAAGATTGATTGGATGTCTTATTGTCCATTTGTTGTTGAAGAAATTCCTAACCAAATTTTGTCATGCAAGCCCTTTTTGACTTCTTTTGTCGAATATGTGATTAGAATTTAAAAAAATAATTAAAAAACACCTGCTGAGACCATAGGTACGTAAATATATTTTGGTAAAGGAATTGATAATGTATTTTTTATTTTTATTCAAGGGAAGGCTCCAAACCTTATAAAAAATAAAAGAAGAGTTTGAGAGTTGAATGAGGGACCTCCTATTCAAGTTAATATCTCTATCAGGTTAACTAGATATTCATGACGTCGACAATATATTTTTAATATATATTAATTGGTTAATTGAAATTAATATTGAACAAAGACACGTTCTTAAATGAGCAAATAATAGGTCATGCGTGATTAAATATTTTGCAAGTTTTCTACAAAGAAAAAGAATTGAAAGCAACAAAAAAAAATTAAAAACCCATCACAAAGTAAAAAAGAAAAAAAGAAAAAGAAAATAAAATAAGCCTTTATTAGCTCCTTTAAGCAATTAGATCTCCATCAACTGCTGCAAGATCACCAATTAAATCACCAAAAGGTCTTGCTATCCTAACGGGGACACAGGCAGTGGCGAAAAAGTGGAGGGGATGGGGAGGGGAGAGAGATAGTGGAGGATAGGGGTAGTGATAAATTGCGCATTCGGTGAGTAGCTCGATCAAAAAGCTCGGCTCGAGTTTAGTCATACCTCAAATTTGAGTCAATTTCAAGCTATTTGAGTCCGTTATTGAGTTGAGTACAAGTCTTTAAGTATTCTGCTCGAAAACTCATTGATTTTTTTGAACTTTCTATTTTTTATATATGATTTTATTTTTATATAATTGTTAAAATATCTAAGAGCGTATATTCTGGTGACAAATTACATATCTTACCATTCAAACTTGAATAAATCAAGCATGGACTCGATCTCAATTTACTTGTCATTTGACATAGAGTTCGGTATCAAAGTCCTTATATTTTGCACAAGTCGAGCTCAACTTTCAAAAATAGAGGTCCATCGAGCTTGAACTTAGGTAATGTATTTCAAACTCAACTTGGATTATTACCAGCCCTAATGGGGAGTTGGAAAAATGAGAAGGGGGTGCAGGGGGAACATTGAGAGAGAGAGCGAGAAGGGGGGGAGGGGAAGATAGAGAGAGGTGGCATGATTGGGTGCACGAGGAGAAAAGGAGAAGGAGAAGGAAGAGATGCTTTGGAAAATTTACTCTTCTCCTTCTTCAATGATAACAGTGTATACACTGTCAATATATATATAATTTATTCTGCATATAAAGTCATTTTTTTTTAAAAACAACTACAATGAGGTAGAGTAAATTTTAAATGAGCACCTCCTAAACCCACTATCTAAACAAATGCAAGCTCAACATCAGCACACACATTTCTAAAGCCCGCAAGTGGGGTTACTTTCTGAGTAATTTTCATTGAATTAATCTTTCCTACACTGACAGTATATACACTATCAGCGTTGGATGAATGACAACTATGTAAAATTTGAGTTTGAAATTCAACTTTTACACACATGTCATGAATCCAACGATGATAGTGTATACACCGTCAGTGTAGGAAAGATTTACTCATTTTCATTTTATATAAAACAAGATATGGGTTATATGAATATTTGTAAGCTTTATGAGAGTGAGGTGATTATATCCAAATCTTCAAGGAGGTAAATAACAATTTTCCCCGTTTTACTGCTTTGCTTTTTCTTTCTTCAAGTATTCGCACATCAGGCTTGTAACCAACAGCAATTGGCATTAATGACGATGACCCCAAATTTTCTGCAGATTTGCCGTTCCATTCACTTCCACGTTTCTTTTTTGTGTCACTTCGTCATGACATTTTGATTCTATTTTCTTCTTCTCTTATCCAGGACAACATTTTTACAATATTTTTGTCCATGAATCAAGCTACCAAGCCACGTGTGTGATTAATCCTATCATCTTTTGACTTTTCACAGCCCATGTAATACACGATCAATGCATTCTAAGGAGAAGTAATTATTTGTAAAAAATCTGACCATCATCAAATCATTAAGTGGTTCAACATTTTCATT